ATGTCTTTCCCCACTGCAGCATCTCCCGTGGGAGTGCAGGGACAGAGGTGGCTGTGCCTGACACTGTGGGGGCAAGCGTGGCTGCACGTGCTGGTGACACAGCCAAGTCTGCCAGCCTGTGCCACCAGCGTGCCACCACCATTCCACCCAGCTTTGTCCTGCTCTGCCCACAGGTGCAGTCCCCGTATGGCAGGAACCGGTGGTGAAGCCCCTGTGGCACAGGTCTGCAGTGTCAGCACAGCTGCCGTCCTGCTCCTGAGGTCTCGTCAAGCCTGGTCCCACCCCACTGTGTCCATCCCAGCCCATCCAGCAGCTGGAGCCGGTTCCTGCACAGGGGACACTCGGATGCGGTCCCGGAGCCACCATCCCGTCCTGCCTGGCCACAGCACCCACAAGCTGCCAGCTCTGCCCGGACCCCGCGTCCCTGCCGCCATCCCTGCCACAACAATCAGCTCCCATGGGGCCACCCCAAGTTGTTCCATCGCTGCTGTCATGACACACAGACACCCCATCTCCTCCAGGCCAGGGACCACCTGCTGCTGAGAAGCTGGGGGGACTTCTCCCCTCGCACCAAGCCTCTGGTTTCATGCTGACTCTGACCAGCCGCGGGGACACCAGAGGCTCTGAGCCAAGACAGCACCGTCCTGCTGCAGGGCACAAGGTGACACAAAGCTCTCCCAAGCCCTGGCCCCCACCGTGCCTCAGTTTCCCTGCCGGGGGCAGGGGGGCTGCTCAGGGTCTGGGGGATCAGTGCCTTGCTGGGACTGGGGGTCTGACCCCAGTATCTCCAGCCGCCTCCTCGGTGCCTTCCCCCACCTGGGGGCTTGTGGGTCCCTGCAGGGAGCAAGGGGGCAGCTGAGCCCCCCACCCTTAATGTGGCTTTCCCGATTGTTCTTCCTCTTCCCCCTATTTTTCAGGTCAGACCCAATAAAGGTGATTTTCCCTACGCGGTGCTGCAGGCAGCCCGTGATGGGATGGGCCCCCAGCTGTGCCGCCAGCTGCTCCCACATCCCCGGCCCCCCCCGCGGCCAAGGGCTCTGCCGTGATGCCCGTGGGCCCAGCCCCACATCCCCCTCCTGGGGGGGCAGCAGGAGCAAGGAGGGGGCTCAGGGCAGGGTCCTCACCATCCCCCAGCCTTGTCCCCATCAGTGGCCGCGTGTGCCGGGGCCAGGAGCACAGATGGGGCCGCTGGGCTGGGACCAGCAGCCCTGGCAGCAGGAGCGGAGCCTGCGGGCAGATGGGCTGCCTGGCAGGAGATGGCACGGGGCAGAGGACGTGCCAAGGTCGGAGGTGGTTTCTCCTGCTCCCCTTGCCTTTCCCGTCCGCAGTGATTTCTCCTGCCGGGCAGGCAGCCTGCGGCCG